TTTACATTGAGGTGCAACCCATACTGAAGGCTGTGGTCTTTAATCTTCATCAGGAAGGATTTTAAGTCGTCTTCACTTTAAGCAAGCAAGGTTATATCATCTGCATATCACAGGGTGTTAATGAGTCTTCCTCCAATCCTGATGCCATGTTTTCCTTCATATAATCCAGTTTCTAAGATTATTTTCTCAGCATATAGATTGACTAAGTATGTTGAAATAGTACAACCCTGGCACACACCTTTCCTAATTTAAAACCATTCTGTGTTTCCTTGTTCTCTTTGAACAACTGCCTCTTGGTCTATATACAGATTCATCATGAGCACAATTAAGTGTTCTGGGATACTCATTCTCCTCAGTGGTGTCCATAGCTCATGAGCCACATAATTGAAAGCCTTTGCATACTCAGTAAAGCTCAGGCAAACAAACATCTTTCTGGTGTTCTCTGCTTTCAACCAAGATCCATCTGGTGTCAGCAATATTCCTCACTCCATGTTCTCTTCTGAATCTGGCTCGAACTTCTAGAAGTTCTCTGCCAATGTATGGTTGCTGCCGTTTTTTAATTATCTTTAGCAAAATTGTACTTGCGTGGGATATTAATGATTTCCTTATTCCACTGAATCACCACTCTTTGGAATGGGCACAGATATGAATCTCTTCCAGTCAGTTGGCAAGGTGTTGTCTTCCAAATTTCTCGGCATAGATGAGTGAGTGCCTGTAGTGCCACATCAGTTTGTTGACAGATTTGTGTGCCATCTATTCTCCCAGAGGCTTGTTTTTGCCAATGTCTTCAATGCACCTTGAACTTCTTCCTTCAGTATTATTGCTTCTTTATCATATGCTACTTCTTGAAATGGTTGGACATCTTCTTTCGATGCTTATTGCATCTCAATATTTTGCCCATAGAATCCTTCAAAATTTCAAGTTGAGGCTTGACTTTTTTTCTTCAGTTTCCTCAACTTGAGAAACACTGAGCGTGATCTTCTCCTTTGGTTTTCTGACTCCAGGTTATTCCACATTTCTTTATAATATTTGACTTTGCCTTCTCGAGCTGTGTTTTGGAATTTTCTGTTCAGCTCTTTTACCTCTTCATTTCTTCCATTTGCTTTAGCATCTCTACACTGGAGAGCAAGTTTCAGAGTCTCTTCTGACATCTGTTGTGGTCTTTTCTTGCTTGTTTTCTTAATGACCTTTTGCTTTCTTCCTGTATGATGTTCTTGATGTCATCCCACAACTCTTCTGGTCTTTAGTCTATAGTGTCTAATGCATCAAATCTGTTCTTCAGATGATCTCTAAATTCAGGTGGAATATATTCAAGGTCATATTTTGACTCTAGTAGACTTGTTTTAATTTTCTTCATCTTCAGCCTGAAATTGCATATGAGCAATTGATGATCTGTTTGATGTATGCCCTGGCCTTGTTTTGGCTAATGATATGGAGATTTTCCACCATCTCATTCCATAGATGTAGTCAGTTTGATTTCTGTGTATTCCATCTGATTAGGTCCATGTGTATAGTCATATATTCTGTTGGCTAAAAAAGGTATTTACAATGAATAAGTCATTGGTCTTACAAAATTCTATCATGCTATCTCCAGCACCATTTCTATCGCCAAGACCATATTTTCCAGCTACTGATCCTTCCTCTTTGTTTCTAGACTATGCATTCCAATTGCCAGTCATTAGCACTACATCCTGATTGCAAGTTTGATCAATTTCAGAGTAAAGACCTTCATAGAGTTCTTCAGTTTCATTATCACTGGCTTTAGTGGTTGGTTGATACATTTGGATAATAGTGGTATTAACTGGTCTTCCTTGCAGGAGTATGGATATTACCCTATCACATACAGCATTGTATTTCAAGACAAATTTTTTATATGTTCTTTTTAATGATACATGTGACACCACTCCTCTTCAATTTGTCATTCCTGACATAGTAAACCATGTGGTGATTTTCAGAGTCAAAATAGCCAATAGCAGTCCTTTTCAGCTCACTAATACCTAGGATTGTGTGGATCATGATAAGCTATGGATAACATTGAGAAGTATGAGTATTCCAGAACACTTAATTGTACTTCTGAGGAATCTGTACCTGGACCAATAAGCAGTTGTTCGAACAGAGCATGGGAACACTGAATGTTTTAAAATTGGGAAAGGTGTGTGACAAGGTTGTGTTCTTTCACCATA